TTATTATAAGTAATAAATTTATCAACTTTTACATATATTTGAAATTTTCTATTATGGCAAATGGAAAACCACAGAGATTGTTTGTAAAGCAAGCAAATAAATAACATGGTGTAAAGTACAAAGTAAAAGTCCTCTGGTGTATCATAGGGACTGCATAATTTTTGTTTTAATTGATACTGCTAAAAATGCCTTTCTAAGTGGCTATGCAGGTTTACACTTTCACTGGCAATATCTTGTTTCCTAATTCCTCATAGGTGTTTGATGCTGTCAGGCTTTTTAACTTTTACAGACCTGATTATTGAAAATTATGTCTAGTCTTGCATTTCCCTGATTCCTGGTAAGATTGAATATTATTTCATGTTTATCAACCATTTGCATTTCTCTTCTATATTTATGTCTTCTGTCATTTTTTTCTGTTGAACTGTCTTATTGATCACAGGGACAGTTTATATAGTCTAGATGCAAATTGTCTGGTACATATATTGCAAACATTTTGTCCCAATCTCTTTTATTTTCACCTTTGTTTTATCTTGCCTTTCGAACTCTACAATAATGCATGGTAGTTCTTCTTCTATTTCAGTCCAGCCAGTTATTTTTTAATTTTTTAGAAAAGCGGTTTTGCTATGTTTTGCCCAGGTTAGCCTTGAACTCCTGGGCCCAAGCAATTCTTTCACGTACCCAGGATTCCAGGAGCAAACCACAGCACCTGCCTAGTCAGTGTTTTGTTTTGTTTTTGAGACGGAGTTTCACTCTTGTTACCCAGGCTGGAGTGCAATGGCGCAATCTCGGCTCACCGCAACCTCCGCCTCCTGGGTTCAGGCAATTCTCCTGCCTCAGCCTCCTGAGTAGCTGGGATTACAGGCACGCGCCACCGTGCCCAGCTAATTTTTTGTATTTTTAGTAGAGACGGGGTTTCACCTTTCGACCAGGATGGTCTCGATCTCTTGACCTCATGATCCACCCACCTCGGCCTCCCAAAGTGCTGGGATTACAGGCGTGAGCCACCGTGCCCAGCCTATTTTGTTTTGTTTTTGAGACAGATTCTTACTCTGTCACCCAGGCTGGAGTGCAGTGGCACAGTCTTGGCTCACTGCAAGCTTCATCTCCCAGGTAAAAGCAATTCTCCTCCCTCAGCCTCCCAAGTGGCACCCTCCACCATGCTCAGCCAATTTTTGTATTTTTAGTAGAGGCAGGGTTTCACCACATTGGCCAGGCTGGTCTTGAACTCCTGGCCTTAAATGAGCCATTGTGCCCAAGCAGCTAGTCATTGTTTTTGATGATGATATATCCCATGTGTAGACCAAGATAGTTTTTTTTTTTTAATTCTTTTTTTTCTCTCTCTTTTATTCATACCTAATGATCAGGAAATTTATTTTTCCAGATCCTGAGTGGAATCAGACCAAAATCATTTTCTGGCAATTTCAGAAATATCTCAGTCCAATGGACCCTCTTTCTTTTCTGTAGACTACAAATATAGTGTCTCCAATCATTTATACCTTATTTAAAGATGACACAATATTTTGGGCAATGCCATAAAAAAAAAAAATGGAGGGATAATGCAATCATGATTACTTATTTTACGATTGCATTTTTAAAGCATAGTTGTAAATAATTCAAGATATAGAAAAAAATAAGATCACCAAGATCCTGTAATATACCTTAGATTTATAAAAAGTGGGCCCTTATGATAATTATAAGATAGAATGAGTTTTATTCTATTTTTAAATATAAGGCCAGGCATGGTGGCTCATGCCTGTAATCCTAACACTTTGGGAGGCTGAGGCAGCCTCGAGCCCAAGAGTTCAAGGCCAGCCAGGACAACATAATGAAATCCCATCTCTATGAAAAATAAAAAGTTAGCCAGGCACACCTGTAGCCCAGGTACTTAGGAAACTGAGGCGGGAGGATTGCTTGAGCTCAGGAGGTCAAGGCTGCAGTGAACTATGATTGTGCCACTGTACTCTAGCTTGGGCAACAGAGCAAGACCCTGTCTCAAAATAAATAAATAAAAATATCATTTATTTTTGTTCTTTGGGAGACTCTAAAAAGAATAAAATTATAAACTAGCAATCCTCCCAAATAGTAAGGAATTGCTACAAAAAGAAAGTAAAACCCTGGGCCAGGAGAGGTGGCTCATGCCTGTAATCTCAGCACTTTGGGAGACTGAGGCAGTAGGACTGCTTGAGCCTAAGAGTTCAAGGCCAGCCTGGGCAAAATAGTGAGACCCTGTCTCTTGGAAAAAAAAGAAAGTCAAACACTAAAATTGGGTCCAGTGGACCCTGAGGTTACTAAGGACTGAGTTGACCAAAAATATACAATGACTATATTAATGAAGCTTTTATTGTAGAGTCAGCCAGAATAGAAATTACACTTGTTAGTTTTATATTTTTTTTTTTTTTTTTTTTTTTTTTTTTACTAAAGCTTATAGGAGCTTGATCTACTTTGCATCTTTTGGTTTCTACTCTTCACCCTATTTGTGCAGTGTAGATGAAAAGAGTAAATTAACTTTTTTTTTTTTTGAGACAGTATCTCGCCCTGTCACCCAGGCTGGAGTCCAGTGGCATGATCACAGCTCACTGAAGCCTCAACCTTCTGGGCATATGCCATACTACCAGCTCAAACTTCAGAATAGCTGGGACTTCAGGTGTGTGCCATCCTGCCATGCTAATTTTTTCTTTTTTTTTTTGAGGCAGAGTTCTGCTTTTACCACCCAGGATGGACTGTAGTGGCGCAGTCTTGGCTCACTGCAACCTCTGCCTCTCGGGTTCAAGCAGTTCTCCTGCCTCAGCCTCCCTAGTAGCTGGGATTATAGGCATGCACTGCCACACCCGGCTAATTTTTTTTTATTTTTAGTAGAGATGGGGTTTCACCATGTTGGCCAGGCTGGTCTGGAACTCCGGACCTCGTTGATCTGTCCTTCTCGGCCTCCCAACTGCCAGGCTAATTAAAAAAATTTTTTTGTAAACACAGATCTCACTTTGTTGCCCAGGCTGGGCTCAAACTCCTGGGTTCAAGGGATCCTCCCACCTCAGCCTCTCAAAATATTGGGATTACAAGCATGATCCTCTGTGCCTGGCCATTAACTTCTCCTTGACTAGGGTAAATACTTCTTTCTCCTGTTCATTTTATTTGCAGGAGCCTGCTTTGTCTCATATCTCTTCTCCAAACCTGCGTTCTCTATCAAAGCCCTTGATAAAGTTCACTGTTGAAGTGAAGTGAATCTCACAGAGCCCAGGGCACTGCCAGCATACTAGTTGGGAAGAATCTCTAAGAGGCGTGCATGCCAAGCACAGTATCGTGTGCAGGCATTGTAGGAGTCTGCCAAATCCAAGGGTAGGCTGCCAGTGCAAATGCCACGTTGACATGACATTTACAAGTTTAGAATTTGATAAAGGACTGGCAGTGGAACACCTTCAGCTACTTTATTCAGGATGGCAGTAACTAGGCTGGCTTTTGATTTTCAGACTCAGAAATCACAGTCAGGAAGTAATACTCCATACAGAATTTGAAACTATCACTACAACTTTTTCTAGGAAATGGTAAATCCTGTTAGTCTATTCCTGGGATGCATGATAAACCATAATGGTTAAGAGTACAGACTCTCGAGTCAAACCTGGATTTGAATGAGGCCTCTGTCACTTACTCGGGAACCCTGAGCAAGTTTAAGCCTTAATTTCCCATTTATAAAATAGGGATAATAATACCACTTCCTCACAGGATTATCAAATGGATTAAATAATATATTTATTCATCTTTTTTTTAAATGTATTTTTGTTGAGATGGAGTCTCACTTTGTCACCCAGGCTGGAGTGCAGTGGCACGATCTCAGCTCACTGCAACCTCTGCCTCCCGAGTCAAGTGATTCTCCTGCCTCAGCCTCCTGAGTAGCTGGGACTACAGGCATGCACCACTACGCCCAGCTAATTTTTTTGTATGTTTAGTAGAGACGGAGTTTCACCTTATTGGTCAGGCTGGTCTTGAACTCGTAACCTCAAGAGATCCACACCTTGCCTTGGCCTCCCAAAATGCTGGGATTACAGACGTGAGCTACCACGCCCGGCTGATAAAAATTTAAAACTATAAGCACTTTTCACATTCTTCAGAAATTCATGAGAAATTTAGTTTTTCAGTTCTTATATTTCAATAATAAGTAGATGTATTAGAATTTACCAGGGAGATGTTGTCACAACATGAACTTGTGTGTAGACTCTTTCCTTGACTTAGGCAATACTGGAACACTATGCACAGGCACACAGAATGTAGTTTTCTTCCCCTCTCCAGGAAATCTTAAAGCTGGAGTCCACGTCATTTGAGTACTTCGAATCTCTACAGTGTCTTAGATGCAGAAACCATTTTGATGTTAAGAATTCATTTCAGGGGCCAGGCGCGGGGGCTGATGCCTGTAATCCCACCACTTTGGGAGGCTGAGGTGGGCGGATCACGAGGTCAGGAGTTTGAGACCAGCCTGATCAATATGGTGAAATCCCATCTCTACTAAAAATATAAAAATTAGCTGGGCATGGTGGCTCACGTCTGTAGTCCCAGCTACTCAGGAAGCTGAGGCAGAAGTATTGCTTAAATCCGGGAGCTGGAGGTTGCAGTGAGCCGAGATTGTGCCACTGCATTCCAGCCTGGCGAAAGAGCAAGACTGTCTCAAAAAAAAAGAAAATTTCATTTCAGCAATAGCAGTCCTTTGATTGACCTGGAATTTTTTTGTGGCACATTCTAATGCAAAATGAAGACCTAGAGCTATTCTGAAGGGTATACTGAGGGCTTCTTAGGGACATTAATAAATTTTCACCTAGGTGACAAGGTACTTGGCCTTGATTAAGTCTTTCACCATGATCTAGTACCTAAGTAATAGCCTTTTCTGTACCACTTGAATAAAATATAATCCTTACTACAGAGCTTAGTTTATTTCTTTTAATCATTTTTAGTACCATTAGTAAATTCTCCCAAATGATACAATTCTTTTTTTTTTTTTAACCCTTGTTTTTCAGATCTTCAAAGCTGCTGCGGGCATTCTATGTCCCCTTCCTGTCAGATCAGTATACAGTATATGTAAACTACACCATCCTCAAACCCCGGAAAGCAAAGCAAATCAGGAAGAAAAGTGGAGGTTAGCAACACACCTGTGGCCCCAAAGGACGACCAACTTGTTAACTAGTGATTCCAGTGACCTGATTCCCTGCAAGTCATCACCTGTAACATTTGTAATAAAAGTCTTCTGACATGAATACTGGAATCTGGGTGCTCTGGGCTAGTCAAAGTCTATTTCAAAGTCTAGTCAAAGTCACATTTGCTCCTTGTATGTGTCTCTGTTCTGCATGTAAACTTTGTGCAACTAGGCAGAGAAAGGCCCTAAAGCACAGTTAGATATATTGCTCTACATCTCATTGTTTTTCCTCTGTTCAATTATTTACTAGACCGGAGAAGAGCAGAACCAACTTACAGGAAGAATTGAAAATCGTGGGACTGGATGGCTGTGTTAAGCTGTTCTCCACACTCTGGCCTGGCATCTGAGAACTAGCAAGCCTCTCTTAGGCCATATGGGCTTCTCCACCAAAGCTGTTTGGCAGCTCCTAGCAGACCTTCTTGTTCAAATCCTCATGCTGTAAATGAATACAGCCTAGTTGCCAACCCACATGTCCTTTTCACCTCCAGCAAGACTAAGCTTCTATAAAGCACTTCACAGGACTAGGACCCTGTCCTGGAGCTATCTCAGGAAAAAGGTGACCATTTGAGGAACTGTGACCTAATTTTATTATAATGATGCCTCTAATTTTTATTTCCTTTACAACCAACTGTAACTATTTGGTTGTATTTTTTTTTGTTTAGTGTTAGCACACTCTTTTTTGAATTCTAGACTCCTCTGTGTGAAGATATCAACAGACCAAACTACAACTGTATAGGATATATTTGGAGAAAGTTAATTCTATCAATTGGTAGATTTGGATGACATCACATTTTTAAGTAATGTATTCTGAAGCCATTGCTGAGGAAATTAAGAATTTTCTTTTTTTTAAACCACCCCCAGTGAAAGGACCAGTGTATATTTGCAGCACCTGTTTTTCAGTTCTGTCTGTTGCGAGGCACATCCTGCATGGGGCACTTCTAGCCAAATAGGCAATGATAAGGACCTGATTAAAATGTACTAAGTATATACTATTATTTTAACAGCCTTTACAGTCAGTACTGCAGTTTACATGGCACTTTCATAGCATCTCATTTGATGGTCACAGTCACAACATGTGGTAGACAAGGCAGGTGATTTGTATCCCCATTTTACAGGTAAGGAAACAGGCTGGGGGTGGGGAGTTGGGGGAGGTAAGGGTAGTTGCCTGAGGTCACACGGCCAGTAAGTGATAGAGCTGGGACTGGAACCTAGGTTTCCTCACTCTCATCTATTGCTCCTCTGTATTCCTCACTCAACCATGAAAACATTACTTGAAAGGACTGATGAAGTTAACCAGAGACCCAACTGTTACTGTAACTTTTTATTTTAAGGAAGAATTGTATCTGTATTTCTTTGAGTTCTTTGGAGCCTCCAGTCTGCTTGTGTGTTAGACCAGCACAGCAGTGCTGTGAGATGCAACCTGACCTGTGGCAGGACAGTAGTGCTTAATGTTTGGAAGTCATGTTTTTTTGCAGCCACACAGGATCCAAATATCAGTACTATTCCTGTAGTCAATCTGGGGTCACATTATAGGTGCCTTATTTCCCTAAGGGTAACTGTTTTGAATATCTGCAAATAGGATGAATCTATTTTTCAGAAGTTCTATCTTTCTTTTTTTTTTTTTTTTTGAGACAGAGTCTCATTCTGTCACCCAGGCTGGAGTGCAGTGGAATGATCTCGGCTGACTGCAACCTTTGCCTCCTGGGTTCAAGTGATTCTCCTGCATCAGCCTCCTAAGTAGTTGGGATTACAGGTGTGCGCCACCATGCTGGCTAATTTATGTATTTTCAGTAGAGTCAGGGTTTTACCATGTTAGCCAGGCTGGTCTTGAACTCCTGACCTCAGGTGATTCACCCACCTTGGTCTCCCAAAGTGTTGGGATTACAGGCATGAGCCAACACACCTAGCCCTATCTTTCATTTTTTCAAAGAGAAGGGCATTCTAATAGGAACTGATGCCAAGACAGGAGAAAAGAAGCGATAACAGAAGAAATGGCTAGTTACCATATTAAAAAGCTCCTCTTTGCGATCTCCTCTGCAGGAATATCAGAGACAGAGTTGAAGCACTGGAGAAGTAATAGGTCTAGACAGTACAGAAGAATAACTGGGGAGTGTGTGAAGATAGAGTGGGCTCCCACTTGCTTGAAAGGTCTCTGGCGTTTAATTCTCAATACTTGATTACTGTTTTCCAAAGTAAAATTGGCACATATGATCTGACTACAGCACAGAGAATTATAAGTGAAATATCTTGCCTTACTTGCATTAGTGGTGTGCCGTTCTTCACAGCAGCTAAGGCCCTCAGCCCTCTGTTTGGCAGAGGTAAATAAGAATCCAGGAATGGAGGTCCACCTGTGATGAGTGGCTTTTTTCTAATCAAAGTAGTATAATGCTGATCTATTTTATCATCTTGCTTTAAAAAACAAACAACAACAAAAAAAACCCTTCATTACAATATAGCACAAAGGCCAGGACTGATGCAGAGATTCCTTAAAAATAGAAATATCAGTTCCCTATCCCTTTTAAAACCTGATTTTTGATCTCTCTGTTCTATGTATCTCTTTAGTGAGAGCACAATAAATGGCAGAACACTATAGAAATGAATGATTTTGCTGTGAAGGTGTTTTTCATGTGATATTTTATAAACACATTTTTAAAAAATCTTCATCACTTTGTAATATAGGAAGGATAGCTTTGCCTGGGAAAAATAATTTCAAAACACCTGCTCAGAGTAGCATTTCTCCCTCAAAAAATCAGTGTTCAGCTTGAGCTGGAGTGTAATGGTGCCATCTTGGCTCACTGCAACCTCTGCCTCCTGGGTTCAAACAATTCTCCTGCTCAGACTCCTGAGTAGCTGGGATTACAGGGATGTGCCACCACACCTGGCTAATTTTTGTATTTTTAGTAGAGATGGGGTTTCACCATGTTGACCAGGCTATTCTCGAAATCCTGACCTCGTGATCCGCCTGCCTTGGCCTCCCAAAATGTTGGGATTACAGGTGTGAGCAACCTCATATGGCCCAGATAGGTTTGTTTTTGTTTTTGTTTTTGTTTTTGTTTTTTGAGACAGAGTTTCGCTCTTGTTACCCAGGCTGGAGTGTAACGGCGCAGTCTCGGCTCACCGCAACCTCCGCCTCCTGGGTTCAGGCAATTCTTCTGCCTCAGCCTCCCGAGTAGCTGGGACTACAGGCACATGCCACCATGCCCAGCTAATTTTTTGTATTTTTAGTAGAGACAGGGTTTCACCTTGTCAACCAGGATGGTCTTGATCTCTTGATCTCATGATCCACCCTCCTCAGCCTCCCAAAGTGCTGGGATTACAGGCGTGAGCCACCGCACCCGGCTGGCCCAGATATTTTTTAATAGCTTTAGATCATAGGCTGAGTGAGGGAGTAAGTGTACTTGGCAAATCCATGGTTCTCTGATTTCTAGCTCTAAAGCAGCCTTATCTGAACCCCCAAATCTTATGATGCAGGTACCACTACTGAACCAGTCTACGCGGTAGGCATCTATTATCAAAATTTACCTCCCGACTGGTAGGTGTCATATGATAAGAAAGAAAGATTATTTTAATCTTTTGGGATAATCAGAGAAAATCGCAGCCCTTACTCTTTATTATTGAATTCAAGTTTGGAAATAGGCCCTTCGTTTTAAATAATAATGGTCTTTATTCCAACCATTTATTTGGGTCATTTTTCCAACTTTGGATTTCTAGGAGAGAACCTTGAAAACTTGTTATGAATCTGTAGCATGAGGTCTGGGGTGACCATTTGGGTAAAGCTCCAATGGCAATCAATCATTTATTGTGTTTTGCACTTCCTGGGATTTATTGAAATAATAAATCACTGTGATTATATAGTCTTCTGGCCAGTATCAGGCAGCTCTGCTTTTAATTTGGTTAATTTCATTTTCTCTGAAGAGGGAGAAGAGGCACAATTTAATCTTTGCCTCCACAAGCATATTAAAGCTCGTGTGTTAATCAGTGCATTCTTATGCTCTTATATTAAATGCCTTGGATAAATGGACATGTGCCCAGCTTTAAGTTTTTTTTGCAACGGAAAGATCAGACTTCCGTACGGCATTGTTGGATTTCAGAGGCTCTTTGGTTTATCTGTAAATCTGAATGTTGCCTTTACTTTCGCCAGTCTAGATAACCATGTAATTCATGCCGCAAATGAAATCAGGAAGTGGTAAAGTGTCAAAGCAAGAGGAGTGTCCAACACACTTGTCTTCCTGATACTTGTACTGTGTCAGTGTTTACATTACATACTTATATTTCCTGTGAAAGAAAAAGTTAAATAAATTGTAGCAGTTTGATTTTCCTTTTCTTAATATGACATTTTTTCTTTTGCTTTTAAATCTTTGTTGGAAATTGGAAACTGAAGGAGCTCAACTCCTTTCTCCCTGACTCCAGCCCTATCCCTCAGTGTGCAGACGTGACTTCTACAGGCCAAATATCCCAGAATGTTTATTCTGAAAACTTTAAAAGAAGACTTTGGGAAACCCGGTGAGGATTAGTTTTATTTTTCCTATGTTAAAACCACGCACAGTAAGAATTAATATATGGGCTGGACAGAGTGGCTCACACCTGTAATCGTAGCACTTTGGGAGGCTGAGATGGGCAGATCACCTGAGGTCAGGAGTTTGAGACCAGCCTGACCAACATGGAGAAACCCTATCTCTACTAAAAATACAAAATAGCCAGGCATAGCCCTGCCTGCCTGCAGTCCCAGCTACGTGGGAGGCTGAGGCAGGAGAATTGCTGGAACCCGAGAGGCAGGGGTTGCAGCGAGCCGAGATTGCTCCCTTGCACTCCAGCCTGGGCAACAAAAGCAAGACTCTGTCTCTAAATAAATAAATAAACAAATAAAAATTTTAAAAGGAATTACTCAATATATGAACATTGTACCTAAAAGAGATGAAGTTCCTGGATCCATCTTAAGTTTTTGGAATAAGAATCACTGCAGCCGGCCGGGCGCGGTGGCACATGCCTGTAATCACAACACTTTGGGAGACCGAGGCAGGTGGATCACGAGGTCAAGAGATCGAGACCATCCTGGTTAACATGGTGAAATCCCATCTCTACTAAAAATACAAAAAAATTAGCTGGGCATGGTGGCCTGCCTGTAATCCCAGCTACTCAAGAGGCTGAGGTAGGAGAATTGCCTGAACCCAGGAGGCGGAGGTTGCGGTGAGCCGAGATCGCGCCATTGCACTCCAACCTGGGTAACGAGCGAAACTCCGTCTCAAAAAAAAAAAAAAAAAGAATCACTGGACTATGAGAGTCTAATTTTCTTTTTTTTTTTTTTTTTTTTTTTTTTTGAGACAGAGTTTCCCTCCTGTTACCCAGGCTGGAGTGCAATGGCGCAATCTCGGCTCACCGCAACCTCCGCCTCCTGGGTTCAAGCAATTCTCCTGCCTCAGCCTCCCGAGTAGCTGGGACTACAGGCGTGAGCCACCGTGCCCAGCTAATTTTTTGTATTTTTAGTAGAGACGGGGTTTCAACCATGTTGACCAGGATGGTCTCAATCTCTTGACCTCATGATCCACCTGCCTCGGCCTCCCAAAGTGCTGGGATTACAGGCTTGAGCCACCGCGCCCGGCCTGTTACTTTTACTTTTAGGCCTGAGTCTTGTTTTTCTAAGAAGGCTTTCTAGACTTCAGACCCTTTGGTTACTTTATTTTCAGAGCCTTCTTGACTTCCCAGTGTCCTTACTAATGGCATAGAACCTTAACATATAAACCATGCAAACCTGCCTGCCAAGGACATTGTTGGCATGCGAGGGGCAAAGACCACATCACACTCCTATGTATGTCAACATGGTTCCCTGAACATTTTGGTCCTGTACATATTTATTGACAATGAAGAAAGAAAAGCAAAAAGAGACATGGGACTAATGTACAAACTGTTGGTCTCAACTTGGCATGGATTAGACCTTAGAAAATATGGCAAGTTGGTCAGACAGCTCATGCTTGTAATTCCAGCACTTTGGAAGGCTGAGGCAGGCAGATCACTTGAGGTCAAGAGTTTGAGAACAGCCTAACATGGTGAAACTCGCATCTCTACTAAAAATACAAAAATTAGCCAGATGTGGTGACAGGCACCTGTAATCCCAGCTACTCAGGAGGCTGAGGCAGGATAATCACTTGAACCCAGTAGGTGGAAGTTGCAGTGAGCCGAGATCACGCCACTGCACTCCAGACTGAGCGACAGAACAAACTCTGTCTCAAAAAAAGAAAAGAAAAAGAGAAAAAAAGAAAAGAAAATCATAAATCCTACCTGTAGTACTCAAAAGGGGCAATTTGGAAGATGTGAATGTGTATATTTTGTCAATTCTCCTGAAATACAAGGGCTTCTGCACAAAAGCAAATTCCACAGGGTAGCTTCTAAAAGGAGAGAGAGGGGTACCTTTATTGAATATTCCTATTGTGACTTGCTTTTGGAGAGTCAGACCTAGACTTGGAGACCCTCTGAACATGTTTGAGTCAGAAAGCCCCTTCTCCAGGTGTAAGGAGGTGCTCAGGACATGTGGCTACATGTCCTGCTAGGAAAAAGAAGTCTGACTGGAAGACGACTGTAGCAGTACATTAGATTGAATTATATATATATATATATATTTTTTTTTTTTTTTTTTTTGAGACAGAGTTTCACTGTTACCCAGACTGGAGTGCAATGGCACGATCTCGGCTCATCGCAACCTCCGCCTCCTGGGTTCAAGCAATTCTCCTGCCTCAGCCTCCGGAGTAGCTGGGACTACAGGCGCGCACCACCATGCCCAGCTAATTTTCGTATTTTTAGTATAGAGAGGGGGTTTCACCTTGTTGACCAGGAGGGTCTCGATCTCTTGACCTCGTGATCCACCTGCCTCGGCCTCCCAAAGTGCTGGGATTATAGGCGTGAGCCACTGTGCCCAGCCTAGATTGAATAATATTAAGTAGCAAGGGATATTTTAAAACTGAAAGCTGTTTTGGCTCTGTCTTCAGCTGTGGATTCAGCATAGAACTGACATTTAAACAAATGATAACCAACACATTTGAGAAATGAAATGAGGGAAATTTAGATTAGGGATGTGAGATTATGGAATTGTAGTGACAAGGAAAAACTGGGAATTTCCAATTGTAGGTTGGTGGCATAAATAGTCTGTGTTAAAATTAGCAGTTGGGTTTAAATAACGTTTTGCCTGAGTATGAGCTTCCCCCCCAACCTTTTTTTTAGTGAATCTTCATAAAGTACTTTAGGTGGTAGGGCTTTCTGTTTGTTTTTAGTTTTGCCTCTGGTTTCTGGGCTTGTTCTGTCATTACATGCCTAGAGATGAAAGTATGTAAGTTGGCTGGATGAGGTGGCTGACACCTGTAATCCTAGCACTTTCGGAGGCTGAGGTGAGAGGATTGTTTGAGGCCAGGAGTTCAAAACCAGCCTGGGCAACAAAGCTAGACCCCACCTCTATATTTTAGAAATATACATATATAATTAAAAGCAATAAAAGTATATAAATGAGGCAACTTCTTGGTGGTCCCAATAGCCTAAAGATCAGGCAATTTCTGACAAACTTCCTCTGATAAGGGTTTTTTGCAGACCTTCAGCCATGGATTTCAGACCTCCTTGCCTTACAAGAGTTCTCTTTGACCTTCACTCCTGCACAAACTGTAGTTGGCAAGTGGTGCTCTTGGCCTTTGACTGATCATTTTAACTCGGGAATCCCAAGTTGCCAAATGAGAAGGGCATGTGTTTTTGGTTGGTTGGTTGGTTAGCGGCTTAATACCCTGTGCTGAAGTTGTGACCTGTGAAGCAGCAGTTCTCCAGTGGAGCTAGAGACAAAACCTGGGGATCATTTAAAAATTTGCCACTATCTGGTTGACCACCCAGGAATTCTGAGTGTGTGGTCAGGAGTCAGCCCAGGCATCATTATGGATTTGTTTTGTTTTGTTTTAGATGGAATCTTACTCTGGTGCCCAGCCTGGAGTGCAGTGGCACTGTCTTGGCTCACTGCAACCTCTACCTCCCAGGTTTAAGCAATTCTCCTGCCTCAGCCTCCTGAGTAGCTGAGACTACAGGCATATGCCACCACACCCGGCTAATTTCTGTATTTCTAGTAGAGACGGGGTTTCACCATGTTGACCAGGCTAGTCTCGAACTCCTGACCTCATAATCCACCCAACTCGGCCTCCCAAGGTGCTGGGATCACAGGCATCAGCCACCGTGCCCGGCCATCATTATGTTTTTTTAAAAACTTTCTAGGTGATTTAGCTAATAGGTAGCTAGAGTTGAACGCTACTGCTCTGGATAAAGACTGAGAGACCAACAATCACACCAAAACATCAAAGGTAATTAAGCAGACAAAATATTTGGTGTCCTTTTCTAATTGAGACTCCTGGTTACCCAGGCCTTCATCTAGGTCACCACAGACCCATTTCTCTGTCTATTCCAGCCCATCAGGCCTTACCTGCCCTCTCTCCCATTCCCTCTGGGCAGCTGCTTTCTGGGAAACAATTAACTAATATGATACTGAAGTAGGCTAATGGATGTTAATAATTAACTGTAGTTCTCTTCCCATTGATCCTCTCCTCTTAGTACACTGAATGACAACTCATCTGGTAAAAGACTAAAATGACTATCGTTTTGGCAAGTGCAGACCTATTCAGTGCCATGTGACTGAATGATTGTTCAGGTGGTAGGAGAGAGCTTGGGCAGGCCAACCTGCCCTTCAGGAAGACTGCCTGGCCTTCAAATTCAACCTTATTGCTTGACACTACTTGGCCTGCTCAGGTAAGGAACTGTGGCTGCCTTGAATAGGACAATGGGGAAAAAAAAGTGTGTGAGTATTAAGCTCTTCTACTCAACACACTGGGGGAGCCTACTTTGTTTGGTTTTAAAGTATAATTTAGTGGACCAGGTGTGCTGGCTCAGACTTGTACTCCTAGCACTTTGGGAGGCCGAGGTGGGCAGATCACAAGGTCAAGAGATCGAGACCATCCAGGCCAACATGGTGAAACCTGGTCTCTACTAAAAATATAAAAATTAGCCAGGCATGGTGGCGCTTGCCTGTAGTCCCAGCTACACGGGAGGCTGAGGCAGGAGAATCGCTTGAACCAAGGAGACGGAAATTGCAGTGAGCCGAGATCACGCCATTGCACTCCAGCCTGGTGACAAAGCAAGACTTCTTCTCCTCAAAATAAATAAATAAATAAATAAATAATAATAATAATATAATTAGCTCTGTTTATTTGAGAGAAGCACAGTAAAGACCCTGTTTTACCTTTGTTAGTCTGCCTCTGGTCTTTGCAGAGAGAGCTTCTCTGGAGCTGCTGCCACTGCC